CGTCAAGGATCTGGCGCCGTCGCCGAAGCCCGCCGTCAACTTCCTGTCCAAGATGCTGCGGGGAGGACAAACTTTAAGGTGACGTGCACCTTGCGACTGAAAGGAAAAAAAAAAAAAAAAACAGCAAGCCCCGCTTCTCTTGTTGGCTAACGCAGGCGCTTGCGTTGCCCAATCCAAGATTCTCCAGTATTTCAATTGCAATCTGTCGCGTGGCGTGTTTTGAAAGTCGCAAATTGGTCACTAAAAGTCCAGCTGGATTGGCTCCATCTTTGATACTCTGACCGCCCCACCGCCGCATTGCCTCCCGACGTGCTTTTCTTCCCCTGTTCGGTGGTGTTACCTGACCGGTCCCAAGCTGAAGGTCACAAAGAGAAAGACGGCCATGACGCACACGGCTCGTTTACCCCCGGGAGACTCGCCGCCCTGCTACAAACAGATAGGGAAGTTGCGTCACGCCTTGCCGGATTGAAAGGCAAAGAGGCGGCGGCAGCGGCGGCGGCGGCGCACCCGGCCAGCCTCCAGCCTTTGGCGGAGCTCCTGGTTCTCGCGACGGAGTCGCTGGTTCTCCTGCTGAGCCTCCTTCAGCTGGAGCTCCAAGTTGTGCACGTACTCCTTCTTCTTCTTGCGCGACTGACAGGCGGACTCGCGGTTCTTGATCATCCTCTGCTGCCGCTTCAGAACTTTCATCTGCGACACCACCCACACCGGAAACTTCAGCATTCCCAAAAATGCCGTTCTGAGATTTGGCGGCAATCCGCCCCCCTTGCTGCCGTCAACTCCAAATTTCTCATGCGGAGGATTATTTGATCCAACTCACGTCGACGTCGTTGGGGCCGTTGCCGGGCAACGTGGCGCCGTTCGGGACGATGGGTTTGGTGGCGGCGGGCGAGACGGCGTGCTCCATCTTGACCACGGCGGGGGCCGACGTCAGGCACACCACTGCAAACATCGGCCGCACGTCACAAAGCGCAATCTGGGCGAGCGGCGCGGCGCTTCTTTGAGGCACGATGAGAAGAAACTGCAATTGCACATCCGCTCCAATAGTTGGCAGTGGCGCTCTCATTGTCTGCGCTTGTGCGGAGGAGTTTAACAAAGTTAGTTTGAGCCGAGTTCTGGCCGTTTTCATGAGCAAGCCGCTCAACTTTTTGCCTGCCGCTTTGCTTTGTTTGGCGACGCTGCCATCAACATCTTTTTCTGATCGAAGATGACGCGTTTGTTTTCCATCAATTTGGTTTGTGTCGTTTTGCCACTTGCTGGCAATCACCTCACCGGGTCGCGCCGGCTCCATGGCGGGAAGGCCACGCAGGAGCAGGGCCTTGGCGGGCGCCGGCGTCCGGGCCACGGGCACGGCGGCCAGGCACAAGGGGCGCGGCTGGAGGGGCGGTTTGGCGGCCAGGGTACTCGTCTTCAGCGCCGGAATCACTGAGAACGCACAAGCGGGTTCCGCGGCGTCAAACGAGGCCGCCTTTTGACAACACCTTGGAATAGGACAAGAGCAGCTGACTGGATGACATCATGAAGTGCACCTGTCGCCTGCGTTTGGATGGACGTCACCAGGGCGGGAAGCCGCGGCGCCACGCCCGGCGTCAATATGGCCGTCGTGGCCGCGGCGAGCTCGGCGGGATCCGGCGGGGGGGACATCACGTCTCCAAATGCGTAGGGAGGCGTCGGGGGGTTCTCGCCTTTCACGGGGACCTGCAAGATGGAAAAAAACAGCAGTGAGACCGACAGAAAGTGGTGGAAGGCCGAAGAATGGCACGCGGCGCGGCGGACGGTCGTCGGACCCACCGCAGGTTCAGGAGGAGCCGCCCCTGCCGCCGACGACCGCTCGGCCTCGGACGACCACACGGGAGACGCCGGCTCGGCTTTCACCTGCAACACTGCGCACACGTGCAAACCTGCGTTGTCATGGCTACCGAGGACAACGAGACGTCCGCTGCCGTTCCGAAGCGCAGGGTGAAATTGCTGTTGCCGTGACAACCCAGGCACTCAAATTCACACTGTCGCGACAACGGTCAAACGGGCATTGCCATGACAACCGTGACACGCATCCCAATGTGGAAAAAAATGTACAAAGCTCCATCGGCTCAGCCGCGACGCTTTGGACGTTCCTTTGCGCGCTGACGCCACCTGCCAGCAAAGTTTGCGTGTTTGGTTGACATTGCAAAGTGGCAGCAATACATTTGCTCACCTGCCGCCCGGTCGTCGGGCATGCATCGCCATGGACACGAGGAGGCTTCGCCATCCAGCGGCTGGGCCAGCTCGTCCTCCAACTAGCAGGGGGGTTAGGGGGAGAAAGACAGGAAGTCACGTGCAGTGCGTGTTTATGTCCTGAACCCACACGAGAGCGGCCTCCAGATCTGAAGCAGGTCCCGGGTCAAGCGGCGCTGTCAACGTACCAAAGTGTCATACTCGGAGGCCAGGCCCAGTTGTTTGTCGTCATCCTCCACGCCGTCGCAGTGATACAAACACGCGTCTGAAACACACACACACACACGTTTTAAGAGAGAAAAAACCCCAAAACACACGTTTTGCTCCGGTCCGCTGTCCTGTGTCCAATCTCACCGTGCCACAGCACACACCTGATTCAAACAAGCGGCTCATCAGCAAGCTCTGACGAAACTAGATAAATGATTCTGAGCATAGTCGGTGGAAAACAATTCTTGGCATTAAACTTCCATTTATTTAAGAATTTTGGAGGGTTGCCCAAAAAGTAAATAAATAAATTCAATTAAATTCTTTGTGAAATTCGGGTATTCAAGCACCGGTTCAGTTTCCATCTCCAACGAATCACAGAAGTCCACTGAATCGACTGTTTAGTTTTGTACAACCAGAACGACTGGTAAACTTGAATGCGCCAGCTGGTCATGGTTTTTGAACTGCACTTCTGTAGATGTGTGGTCGTCACACACGGTCAAGTTCCTGGTCGACAACTCGATAAGAGACAAACGCGTCGGTGTGTTTCGCTTCGCTCGGTTCCAAGCGGAAGCGACGGCTCCGAGCGTGCCGCTCAGGGTACCTAATCAAGTGACCATATCCGGGTTGGAAGCACCAGGCGGCGTGTAACGCATCAGTGACGTCACGGTAAAGGCAGCGTGCAAACAAAAACAAGTGTGACGACGTCAATAAGAATGAAACGTGATGTTTGACGTCGCCGGAAGGGAGGAAATGTGCGCGCGCGTGTGTACGTATGGGGGCGGGGGGGACAAAAGTGACAATGGTCGGAAGGGAGGTGTCCCAATATCCGATGTGGAATCGCGTCGAACGCCGAGCGCCTAACGACTCACCCCAATCTTCGTTGGTGAGCAGATTGTCGGCAAAGAATCGCCCGACGTCCGAGTCGCACAGCATGTCCAGACTCATCGCGGTAGCGGGAGCAGCAGTTTGTTGGGAATTATTTCAGGCGTGTTGTCCCTTTGTTGCGGGCGCGCCACGGCTCTTTCATCTCAGCTGGTCTCGACCTTTGGCGACCTTTTCATCCTGACGCGACGCGACGCTCAGCTGGCCCGAATTTGCTTCGACACTCGCCTGGGCGAAAGCGACGAGGAAATGTCCTCTAGCGGAAGCTCCGCCCATCCAGCGCTCCTAAACCGGGATCGCAGTGATTGACAGGCCGAGCCGCCAATGACGCCAGCGCCTTTTGCGTGCAAGTTGTGGTGACGTCAGGCAATAGGAAGCCGTCATTTTTGATCGACGGGAAGAAGGCACCGATAGCGTTCACATTTACGGCACCTTCTTGAACTGACACTCCGCTCAGCCAATGACGTTCGACCAAAAGACCGTCGCGTGCTCGAAACGTGCTCTTCCTGCCATAACATCCCGTGAAAACAAACGAGAAAAGAAAAGAAAAGAGACACAACCAAGAATTTACCCAATCATCACGTTTCGACTTTCCATATTCAATCTTTGGGGGGCAGTTGGAAGTGGAAGTGATGCCACAAACATCTGAGCGGTCCTTTTCTTCGATAAGCAAGAATGAAAATGTGCTTCAGACGGAGAGCAAAAATACGTATTGACACAAATCACCAGTGTAACAATTTTACGTTTGGCAATCTTTACAAATTTATATTTGTGCGCGATTTAGTAGTCGCAGCAGTTGCATTTGGTAGTGTGTGCGGCCGGGTCTTTTCTTTGACTTCCCCAGCTAAAACAATCAAACCAGACTCGGACAAGACAAACTCAGTTGACAGCAATTGCCCTCAATGGCGTTCCAAAAGTTAAACAACACAAACATCAAAATTATTTTTGGGGGAGACTTTCATTCATTTCAGGGGGTGGAGGGGCAGAGTTTGGAGTAACGAGAGCGGTCCCGAAACAAATTCACCTCGTTGTGGTTGAGTCAGGAGAGAAATGACAAATTGTTTTGGGCGGCCTAAATGATGTCCTTGTCCCCGGGGAATGGCCCCAGACTCAGAGCTCCAGCAAGTCTTGGCGCTCAGGGCGCTTGTCGGCGTCGTGAGCCGCAGCGGCGGCAGCGTGCACCTTCATGTGAGCCTCCAGCGAGCGTTTCTCCTGGTAGCGCTTGTGGCATATGCGGCAAACGTGCGGTTTCTCGCCCGAGTGCGTCAGCATGTGCCTCTTGAGGTCCACCTTCTGCACAAAGCTCTTGTCGCAGGCGTGGCAAGCAAAGACCTTGTCCTTCCGATGGAAGCGCTCGTGCGTCTCCAGCGAGATCTTTTGGCGGAAGCTCTTCCCGCACAGGCTGCAGACGAAGGCCTTCTCGCCCGTGTGGATCTTAGCGTGCGCGTCCAGGTTCCCCACCTGCCGGAAGGTCTTGCCGCACACCCGGCAGGCGTACGGCTTCTCGCCCGTGTGGATCCTCTTGTGCACGTGCAGGTGCTGACTCATGGTGAACTTCTTGCCGCACTCGTCGCAGCCGTGGACTCGCGGCCTGCCCCCCGTGTGCCGCTTCAGGTGCCGCTTCAGCGCCGCCTTCTCCGTGAAGGTCTTCCCACAGAACTCGCAGATGAAGGGCTGGCGATCCAAAGCACCCCTGCGGGGGAAGCCCTTGTGGCGCTCGCCGTACGACGACGCCGGCGAACTCTTGGGGAAGGGCAGGTCACACTTCTCCCTGCGGTCCTGAACACGGTCCTCGACGCCGTCCTGGATCTGCTCCTCAATGGCACCCCCACTGCGGTCCTGACCCTCGACCTGCAGACTGTGACTGGACCGGTCGGCCTTCTGGAAGGTGCGGACGCACTCTGGCCCACCGTCCTCAACGCGGTCCTGAAAACGCTCTTCTCCAACACGCTCCCGAACAGCATCTTGAACGTGCTCTCCAAGGCGGTCCGGCAACCTGCAGCCGGACGGGTCAGCCTCCTGCTGCTGGCCCCGCCGGTGAGAGGGGTCTACTGTGCTGTCAGCCGCGTGGTCCTGGTGCGGACTCATCGGGGCCGTGGGCACGTGGTCGTCCGTGCCGCTGGTGGTCCGGGGGCTCTGAGCATTCTGCCGGCACAGGTGGGAGAAAGTCACGCGTGTGCAAGTCCCAAGTCTGAACCTTCAACATTTTTACATTCATGTTTATCAACGCTGCAGTGATCTCAATAGTCAACATTTCCAGTAATAACAGCGCTGATTTATTGCGTTCCAGTGGTGGCGCCAAAACTTCGGAGCTAAATCTTCTGCTTCTCACCCTCAGCAACAAGTGGACATGGATGGCAGGAAAGAACACATAATTCCACCGTGTCGACCATCCGAAGGGCACCCAGGAGAAGTTTTTTGGGGGGGCTTGTGTTTCAGTGTTTACATGTTTCGTATGTTAAAATTCCTTTGTTGGAAAGTTCAACAAATACAAAAAGACAAAGTCTCATAAAACATCTCTGCCCGTGAGTCATATTTACTTTGTTGTTGTCAGGGATCCCCCAAAGTTGATATTTTATTGATTAGATATTTTTTTTAACTGATCGATCCATTCATTTGATGTTGGATTGTTTTGATTTGCCAAGTACTGGAATTGCCATGGGGTCGGGGGGGGAATAAATACATTTCAGTCAGGCTCTAGCTCAGTCCCACTCACTAGATTCAAGCTAGTTGAGTCAGGCCACAACTAAAGGTTATCCCATCTGTCTGAGTCACCACATACATCGACGTGAGGATCAAATGTGTTTTTAGTTGCACCTGAGTGGGAGGAGGGAAAGGCGTCAAGGCACGGGTCGTCATGTTTGTCTTCTGGTCGAGTTGTTTGGAGCCCACCTGGCACGAGAAGGGTGCCGCCCCAGCGTGGAGTTGCCGGTGCGTTTCCCGCGCTCGGGCGGAGGGAAACTTTTTTCCGCAGGCGTCACAGGTCCTGTTGCTGTCGCGGTGCATCTGCAGGTGGGGCCGCAGGTCCTCGCCGCAGGTGGCGCGGACGCCACAGAGGCCGCATGCGGGCTCCGTGTCCTCGGCGTGGTTGTCCACGTGCCTCATCAAAAAGCCTTTTCTGCCAAACGACTTGCCGCACACTCGGCATCGGTGCGGCTTGCCGCCGACATCTCTTGGCCCGTCGTGGGCAGGCAACCCGGCGGGGCAGTCGCGTTCCGGCGTAGAGGGTTCAACCTCTGTAAGGAAGGGCACCAGTGATTAGCAACGTGACAATTGGCCACCATCTTTGATGGCTGGGCACATCAAATGCCAAACAAATTGTGTGAAACGGAGAAATTCCCAATAGACAACGAACGCACATGATCTATTCACGAAAGGAGACATCTTGAGTAACGATCAAGCTTGACTTTTCCTGCCCTATAGGCGATCCCCCCCCCCCCACACACACACACACTCAAAAGAAACTTTCTCTGTGATCACTCATGCGATTTTGAACATTCCCTTGTAATGGGATTGAATCGGCCGCATTTTGACAGGTTGTGATTTGGCGGCGAATGCGGTCACGTTCGAGTAAGCGGCCAGCTAGTCAAGGCAAACGCGGAGGACTGCGAACGCTTCACTCGCTCACACCGACCAGCTCCCGCTCCTGCTCCCGCGGCCACCGCCTGATACTCGCTGAAGATTCGCTCGACGGCGGCGGCGACAGCGTCCATCACCATCCGCCTGAGCTGACGGCCACCCGAGCTGGGCCGCTCCTGCAGTAGCCGCACGACGCGTTCGGCCGCCGCCGAAAGTTGTCGCTCGACGGCCGCCCTCAGGCTCTTCTCTCGGTCTCGGCCGCCCAGCTCCGGCCGCCGCCGAACGAGGCCTTTCTTTTCCTTTTCCTCGGCCGCCATTTGCACCACAAAGCAAACGAAACGTAAACATGGAGACTTCCGGGTTGCCTTGGTCACCTGACAAGAACGCATGCGCCGTCCGACGTACCTTGGTTCGTTCAAACGCGGCTATATTTTCAGAAACGTTTGATCACTGGATGTGTTTTTTTAACCTACTAGCCTGTTTTATTTTATTTTATTATTTTAATGTATTTGATTCACATCATTGTCTCAAGGAGAGAGAATTCCATTGAACCATGAAAACGACGGCTGCTTTTCTGTTCGCTACGGACGCGTTTGCGCTGCCAATGTGGAGTGGACAGGAACATGTAGACTAGTGTTGGTGGGGTTATTAGCGCATGCAACTTTATTTTCATGTTGACTTCGAAAACAAAATTAATGTGTCAATGCACACGCACGCAATGTATATTTGTTTCAGAAAATGGGCAAGTTTTGGCAATAAATGAGCTACTTCCCAAAAGTAGTTGTGAAGCCCCAAATATACAATTGTGTGTGTGTGTGTGTGTGTGTGGGGGGGGGGCTTCCAAAAACGCAAATAGTTATGACATTTATGATACCAATCCATAATATTGCGTTACTTGTGACTGCCACTCACTCACTTGTGTGTTTGTCAAGTCAAGTCCAACTTTATTGTCAATTGTGCTGTATGTGCAACTTACAGCACAGATGAAATTTCTTCCCCCTCAACCAGACAACAAGAGGAGCCGCTGCGGGTGCCCGCGCCGCCATCAAAAGCACAGTGAACATAAAATGACAAAATAATACAAGACAACACATAAGACACAGACAGTCGTGCAATCTTAACCACTTTTCCTGCATACACTTTGTTGTTTGAAACAGTTATATATGAAAGAGGAACGGATCAAAGACTGCTTGTTGGTTAGTTAGCACATTTGGTTCAATGACAGACTCATTGAACCAAATGTGTCCCTCAACAATATTTTCCAATTTGGGGAATACTGTTTGTCTGTCCAGATGACGTTCGGATCATCATCGCGTCTCCTCATCAGACTCCTCCTCTTCTTCAGATTCCTCCTCCTCATCCTCCTCGTCCTCGTCCTCCTCGTCGTCTTCCTTGTCCTCGGCCTGCCTCCCGGAGGCTCTCTGTTGCTACGGCGAGCAAGCAGGTGAAAAACGCGTGACGGCGCAGAGGAGCAAGGCGGGCTTCGGCCCTACCTGGAAGGTGGCCGCGGGCGTCAGGAAGGAGGCTGCGGTCCCGTCCAGAGAGTTGGTGCGCACCACATCCAAGCGCTCGGCGTAGTCGGGCGGGTGCAGCGAGCTCCTGAACACCTGACCGCACATACGCATTGGCTCGTTTGGGGGGGAAATTGCATGCTGGCTTGTTGCTCTTCAAAAGTCGTTTCTCACTGCGTAAGGACGATGCGCCCGCGACAAAAAGCCAAGCGAGGAAGCTCGGCGCACGGACAAGCGTGTGGCGTACCTCCAGGTCGTTGTCCTCGTCTACGCTGCTGATGCTCTGGTAGGCCAGCGTGTAGAGCTCCAAGGCCTTGGCGTGGAAGCACATCTCCAGGCTGGCAAAGTCGCACAGGATCCTCTGAAAAAGAAACACGCTGGAGACGATGTACGCGGCAGCGGTCCGTCCGCCCTGGCCGCGTCCCACCTTGATGTCTCGGATCTTCTGCCTCTCAAAGTCATCGATGGTCTCCTCCAGCTGGCGCGTGGTGCGCGCCGCGTCCATGGTGGCCCGCTGCAACTCGCTCTCGGCCTGATGCGTACCAGAAGCAGCATCATCGTCATCATCGACATCATCTCGTGCACCACACGCGACGGAGAACCCACCTGAGACTGGAGGCGGGGTCAAGGAAAGAGGAATTGGCAATTGCTTTCAGATACACCGCCACCTTGATTCGGCACATATCAACACACAAACTCTGCAGTACGCGAGTCTTTCAGTTGAACTGCACTTTCTAATTTTGGTCGATTTCCTCGCATTCTCTGTCGATGTTTTGTACAACGCTGCAATTTTGCTTCCATAAATAAAGCCAAGGCGGTGGCATCCCGATGGGGGTCCATCGAATTCGGAGCAGGGGGACGGAGCGCATCAAAGTGCCACCTCGCGGTAGTCGGCCGTGAAGGATACGATGACTTGTCGGTCGGATGGGTTTCGTTGGCGAGTGCGCTCCAGTTGCAGCATCTGCTTGGACTCGCGCGACCTGGCGCTCTGGGCCGCCTTGACGTCCTCCTGAAAAAGCAGCGTCCGTCACCCCGCCGGCCCTTGGCCCCGCTCACGCAAACGCGATGCTGCCTCACCCGTTTGCGTCGCACCACCGCGCCATAACCTTTCAGCGGCTCGATCACCTTGGCCTCCAGTCGCTCCACCTGGAATGCAAGCACCCCATGTCACCATCCTGCCCCTGACCGCAGATGCATCTGTCGATTCGTCCATTCATGCGGCATGCATCCACAAATCCTCCCGTGTGGGTCCAGACCTCGGCTTGCCGGTAGTCCTGAATCTGGGCCAGGTGTTCGGCGAACCGCTTCATGCCTTTCTTGAGGCCGGGGGTCTCGGTGTCGGCGTAGTCGGCCACCTCCCGCACGAGGACATCAGCCTTGTCGCGGAGCCTGGCGGCTTTGCGGCCGTAGGCGGCAAACATTTGACACATCTCGTCGAAATGCTTCTCCACGTTGCTGATGTTCTCCTGGATCCTCTTGGTCTGGTTGTCCCTGAACAAGCAAACAACGCATCCGACCACACATGAACAACGATGAGGTCTTGGGCCATCGATCCATGCTAGCGACATACAACGAGTGACGGGCAGAATGGTGAAATGCCCTCCCACGAGATGGACAAATGTACGACGAGCACTTGCAAAGCGAGGTTGTCCCGAAAATGTCCACTAAATATCCCGCTGGGTTCGCAATCATTCATTCATACATCCCTTGCCCGATCGCCGCAAAGGGACGTCGAGGCAGCGGTTCGGGTTTTTTTTTCGGGGGTGTTAGCAACACGCGGCTAACTAGTTCGGCTAAGAGCCTTTCACATCGAAACACAAGCCAAGCCAATGACGAACAAATGTGACCTCGTTCGCGCATCCGGAGTTCGACTCATCTCTGCCGAGGAAAAAACAAGCAAACAAACAAGAACAACAATAGTCAACCGAACGTCACAAGACGTGGAGCTTAGCTAACACGAGCAGCAGCAAGCGTTGCCATGGATGCCGGAGCGTTCCGGTGCCAAGAAAAAGGTGGGGTTTCACGCTATCGCTGGAAGCGAGCGAGAGCCGGTCTGGCGAGTGCAATTTGAACGTGGCGTCGATGAGAGAAAGAAAGGGGCGGTTTTACATCCGAGTCTTCTGCGCGCTTCGGAATGAAAGCAATGTGTGAACAAACACTAAAAAGGGAAAGGCGGCATGAGTCTCGTATTTCCGAGGTGTTATAAACGCACCACCGGAGAGCGAAAGCGCGACACCGTGAGACCGAAGACTGTCGGGACGGACCGATTGTTGACTCTTGATAGAAATTTGGCCATTTGCTTTATCAATGTGGCGGGCGACACTTTGGTCAAGCGTGAAGATGTTCGTCCTCGTCTTCGTTTTGTGCTTCGGGTTCGGCGCGCCAATGATCGCGAATGACGGTAAGTTGTTTTGGTGTTTTTTTGACCGACGGACGCCATTTCAACTCAAAAGAGAAAGTAAAAATTTGAAGGCTCATGAGACGCAAAAGCTACACTAAACGGACTTTGGCCGACAACTTGTGTGTGTGTGTGTGTATGTGAGAGAGAGATCCAAAAGGGGGAACAGTAGGAGAAATTTAAAAAAATAAACCGTTTATTTTTGTTACAAACGTGCGTGTGTCAAGTTCGTCACTTGGGTGTCAGACACGTCAAGTGTGTGCGTGCGTTTTTTTTTTTCGTGCGCGCATGCATATGCGCCAGTCCGTGGCGGAGGTCGACTTTATCTTGGGAGACCTGCTGCTCAGGTTGCTGATGATCCTGATCATTTGAATCAGTCTTGTTGGAGGAGGTGAACATGGAAATCATGCTTGGCAGGACCCCTCGAGGACCGGGGTTGGACACCCCTGATTTAACGACCCCGGCCCCCGTCTTTACTTGTGATGTGTGTGTTAGCGACATAATACTAGTATGTTTGTGTGCGTGCAAGCATCCAGTGATGTCATCACCTGAAACACCCCCCAATTCCTTTCCAGAGACTCACACCCTGACGTACATCTACACTCAACTTTCCGGGGGGGAGTCGCTCCCAGCTGGCGTGTACGACTTCTCGGCCATGGGCGTGCTGGACGGTCACGTGATTGACTACTATGACAGCGGTACCATGAAGAAGGTCCCCAAGCACCCTTGGATGTCCAAGGAGTTGAGCGCCACCTACTGGGAGCAAGGCACCCAGTCTAGGAGGAGCAAACAGCAGTGGTTCAAGGTCAACGTGGACATCCTGCTCGAGCGCATGGGACACAACTGGTCGGGTAGGAGGCCGGCCGACCGCTCGTCAAACCTTCCATCCTATCAGTTTTTCATTGGCTTGCAGCTAAGGTGTGGGCGGAGTCAGTGCTTCGGGCATGTCGTTTGTTTAGCGGTTCCCATGTGTAGGCATCCGCCTTTTTTTTTTCACACCCACCTCAGACGTCCACGTCCTCCAGTGGTTGCACGGTTGCCACGGCGACCTGCATCCCAACGGCACGGTGGGGTTCCGCGGCGCCGTGGACACGTACAGCTACGACGGCCTGGACTTCCTCTCCTTCGACTACAAGCATGCAGAGTGGGTGGCGACGGCCCCCGCGGCGCTGGAGACCAAAAGGAAGTGGGACGGCGTGGCGCTCCTCAAGGACTACACGCGCGCCTACCTGAACAAGGAGTGCATCACCTGGATGGAGCGCTTCCTCGGGTACCGGAGGAACCACAGGCAGCGCACGCGTACGTACGCCGGCCGCCCCACTCGTTTTTCCGGGGCTGTGGGTCGAGGCGGCCAAGTTTGCCGCTGACGTTGAGGTCAAAAGGTGCTGAGCGATGCCCGCGTGCGTCCACAGCGCCGCCCTCCGTGGACATGATCGGCAGGAAGGCACGCGCGCCGGGCACGCTGCTGCTGACCTGCCTGGCCAGCGGCTTCCCCCTCAAGGACGTCGTCCTGGAGATCCGGAGGAACGGCCGCACGCTCGCCCGAGAGGACGGCGTGACGTCGTCGGGCGTGCGACCCAACGAAGACGACACCTTCCAGAGGCGCGACAGCGTGGAGGTCCTGGCGAGCGACACCGCCCAATTCACGTGCGTCCTGCGACATCGCGCGACCGGACTTCACATGGAAACGCTTTGGGGTGAGGCAGCCACTCAAGCTGCAGCACGCCAAACATTCTTTTAATCTCTTGGTGAGACGAGCCCTAAGAGCCATTTGTCTAAAAAGAGTCGAATTCCCAAACAGTAGACGACGATGGCTATGAAATGCATTGTGGATGATTTTGAGCAGTGACGTCATGGCGGCAGCCCTGACCAGCACAGAAAACCCCCCGTGCAGTCTTTGCTTGGCGGTCCCGACTGGCTATGCTCAGTGGAGTTTTTTTTTTTTTTTTTCCTAATCCAGATGGCAAGATCTTGAGCGCTCCCGCAGCTGACGTGGTTGGCGGCTTCATTGCTGGCTGCGGCTCGGTGGCGGTCCTCGCGGCTGCGCTGGGCTGGTTTTTGCGCAGGAAGTTCAAAGGTAGCGGAAACGCCCACTTCCCCAATCGTAAGCTTCATATGCTAACGCCTTGATCATCTTTGTCCGCAGGTGCTCCTGACAAGGCCAGTGACAGGGGTATTTTGCGTCCGCTGACACAATAAAACCTTGGGGTAATGACGTCATCAGCCCGACATGACGAGGCGTAACTAATGTGCGCTTCTGTCCTTGTTCTTTTTGTCATTGTTCAAGCGGATCGCCTCCAGCAATTCAATAGCAAGCAAGGTAATGAGCAAAGCTTCCAAGCGCGCCGGCCATCCTCCAGAAAAACCAAACCTGATGTCGACGTCTCGCGCAAAGTCACTCGGGGGTCCGCTCTGTAGTGACCGTTCTTGAACTCATGTCTCGCCAGGCCTTCTCCCGCTGGCCGCCGACCGGTCTTTGGACTCTGACGCCTCCTCCGGTTCAGGTAGGCCAAAAGTGTCAAGCGAGCTGCTCGCCGAACACGTCCGGACGTGCTTGACCGCCGCCATCTTGCCTCCTTGCAGCTGCCACTTCGCAGTACTCGCTGACGGCAGACGCAGGTAAGATCCCGGTCGTTTGCTGGCATCCCGGTCAGCGTTGACCGACGCCGGTTGAAATGTGTGGCTCACCTTCGCAGGCGGGCAACCCCATTGACCTCTGGACCAGTGACGTCATCGGTGTGCACGGGCTCGCCTCCGCTTCGCTTCGGGAGCTCCTTCTCAATCAACGATCGTGTTTGTCTTTCTTTTCGTCACCGCACGACACATCTCCCAGGCGGACAAAAAGCCCTCTTCCGGTTTGAAAAGATGGCACTGTTGCACAACGCAGCGTTGCCATTTGCATCTCTGGACACAGCGATGGCACGGTCGGGAGCTGATCCACTTTTCCGTTGCAAATGATCGATACTTTGCCTGCGGATTCGACGATTTTAAGATAACCTTTATGAGTATGATTTGCAGTCTACAGCAGCAAGATGGGGGGGGGGGGTAATAAAGTGTTTCATTGCACAAAATAAATGTTTCAGAAGAACTGTACACAGTTCAATATAAGTGCAATATAAATAATTTTGCGGGTGAATAAAAGTTGGCTTCAAATAACCGGCTAAGGGGGAGAAACCTGAACATTCCTTGACAGATCGATGGGGTTTTCCTTTTCATCTCGCTACTTGACTCTCCCGAGCACGAAACGAAACAAAAAAAAACATTCGATGATTGTTTCCCCGCACATGCACTGGAGGGAGCCCGCGCCTCACTGGTGGACTCCAACCGCAAGTCGAAAGCCTGGCGCTCCGGTCGACGATGTCCAAATCGTGACTTTCGCAGAGGCAAGGACAAGTTTTCGGATTAGAATTGACACTCAAGATTTATACTCGACTACAATTTACGTCGACTCAAACCAGTTATTGCGAGGATGCAGTCGCGGCTTCAACTAAATGGCATTTTAGTCAAAAGACTGATGAAATCTAAATTTAAATTGCATGTCAAAACTGGTGCCGCGTAATTTTGCATTCCGCCTCATCTTAATTCGACAGCTATGCACTTAAATACGCATTATTTTAAAACACGGAGGCAGTCGCGATGATTCAAATCGACTGTACCTCGAACTCAGAGCTGTCTTTTTAACTCAGAGCTGTCTCGAACTCAGAGCGGTCTCGCGACTGACGTCATCGCACAGGCTTTGAAAAGTGTCGCTCGGTCCGATGACATTTCCGCTTCGGTGCGGGCCTTCATCACAACGACCCGCAAATGATATGACTGATCTTTCTTTGCTGTTTTTTTTTGGGGGGGGGGACATAGGCCATTCGATCAAAAACACAAATGAAAATCCTCGCGTTGTCATGGAGCAAAGCCAGGCGTCAGGTGGCTGAAGCTTTTACTCGGAAAGGGCCAAAGCGGAAGTCGGCGTTGGCCGTTGCTGCCATTCAAAATGTACCCCGTCGCGTCGCCTTCAGCCCCGAAAGCGTTTATCGATAAACTGTCGTCGTTGCCCAATCGACCAAAACAAAACATGAGGGTCGCTACCGCGGCCGGTAGGCGGCTCGCTCGCGGTTCCGTCCAGCTCGAGATCAGATGGACTCTTGGTCGTCGGCAAGGCGGAAGACGCAGCTCGACTGGCGCCCGAGCCCAGATGCTACACGGCTAACCGCGAACTCGGTAGCCGAGGACGCTCGCCACCGGCCGCTTAAAAACACGCGCGTACGCACTCTGCGAGCAAACTGCAAGCCTCTCGAGCTCGCCGCGGGACAAGCGTGCCGGATCGCAAACCCAATTTGCTTGAGACCAACGCGACCGGAAGCGGATTTGACTCGGCTCGATTTGTTGGGGTCGCCTCCACTCCGCTTCCGGTGCGTCCAAAAGGAAGTTCGCCCAAGAAGCTTGTTTGTTTGAGCCTCGGAAGGCGGACCGGCAGCGGTGGAACCCTGACCCGAGCCCCGCCCACGGACGTGAAGATGCCACAGCGAGGCGCCCACAACTGAAGCCGCCCTTTTTCGGCCACAAGTTGTCATGGCGAGCCGCAGGAAGTCCAGCACTCCGTGTATGCTTCCGCCGCCGCCGTCGGGAGGGGACGCGGGGGATGCGGACCGGGCCGAGGACCGGGGCGTCGCCGAGCCGTCTTCGAAAAGCTACGAGTGCAAGTACTGCAGCTTCGGCGCGCAAACGCTCAAGTTGTTCGCGGGGCACGTGGACTCGGGGCACGCCGACGGGGTCACTGACGCGTTGGACGTCTGCGTGGCGTGCCACCGCCGCACCAGGAGGTACGATCCGCCCGCACGTGGCCGAAGTACGCAAAACTCGGATACACACCCAAAAGAGGGCCGGCCTGTCGGTGGGCGGTACAGAGAACGCGTTGTTGTGTTGTTGCTAATTTCACCCACAGCAGGATGCACTGATGACCACTTGAAGGGCATTGTGAAACGCGCTGCTCCTAACCTGATCTGGATGCGCCCGGGAAGACGAAAAGATACCAGCAAACCCGAAAGAAAAAAATGCACGCCTTCCGTGGAAGCGTTTGATGCAATTTAAGATTGGAAAATGTCAGTGAACAATAAAAGCTTGGATTCTCAGGCTTGCCACAACTCGGGATATATTTTGACGTCAACATTTGACGAGTTGAGTTTCCAAATGGTGGTGAAAATAATTGGACTTGTTACGGCTCAAGTTTAAAAGAGGCACGTGCAAGTCGGCTATTTGAGAAGGTACCATTTGAGTTGCCCAAGAGAAAAACGTCCAAAAACATGTTGCGAGTGTGAAATGTGAGGCTTCAAGCCATGGAAAGAAAGCGCCTGGGCTTGTTTTCTTCAAAACGTCAACATTCTTCCCTCGCCTCCAAATGAATATTAGCTCCAAACGTTGCGGTCGGGTGGTGGGCCCCTCACACATGCGCTCTCACTCTCCCCCGCAGCGACGACGCGCTCGCGACACGCGACCTGCGGCATCAGCCGGGCCAGGGCAAGTCGACGCACGCGGCGGCGGGACACAGCGACCAGACGGGCGACCGGCGGACCTTCGACGACTCGGCCCCGGAGGGCCGCCCGCTCGAGACGCAGGACGACGCGCGGCCCGAGGACGGCGGCAGGCGGCACGACGACGCATGCTGTCAAGGGATCGCCCTCAGCAAGACGCCCATCATGAGAAGCCGGGCGGAACCCAAGAAGTTCACCGCCTCGCGCAGAACGGCCGCAGAAGACGTCATCAAGGTGGAGAGCGAGGACGAGACGGACGAGGACAACGCTGCGCCCGCCTTCTCGGCCGCCGCCGCCCCTCCGCCACTCCCCGTACCTGCGCCGCTGCAACTCCTGACGGGGCTGCCGCAGAGTTTGGTGCTCAACTGCCCCGACGCGCTGCACGTCCAAGGCGGTGGGGGCGGCGCCCTGCCGGCCGGGACCTTGGCCCAGGTCCTGTCTGTGTTGCAGAAGCAGAATCAGAACCAGCTCCTCATCCCCATCAGCAGCATCCCGGCCTACCACGCCGCCATGGACAACAACGTCCTCCTGCTGGGGGCATACAACAGGTAGGTCGGGGGCGCGGCGGCCCGCCGGCGGCGTTATTCCGGCGCTCTGACCCGTCCGCCCACGCGCAGGTTTCCCTACCCGTCGCCATCGGAGATTGCGGCACTGGCGTCGCAGACCAAGTTCAGCGAGGAGAACGTCAAAGTGTGGTTCTCCGCCCAGCGGCTGAAACACGGCGTCAGCTGGACCCCCGAAGAGGTCGGTACTGGGCTCCCTCGCCACCTTCTGGATCCAATGACCCACATGAGGTTCCGCTTGGTGAAAAAGCTAGCGCGGCGGGAACGCGTGTTCTCACTTTATTGCTTTTTCCAAGAGAACGAGTCGACTTCTTCGTCCGGAGAAGGAAACCGAGTACAATTGTGGGCTGATTCCAGATGTGGATCTCTTGTACTTGTCTCGGCAGGTGGAGGAGGAACGCAAGAAGACGTCCAACGGCGCCGTCCAGACGCTCCATCCGAGCGTCCCTCACGCCATCGCCGTCATCCCTGCCGGCGTGGCCGCCAACGGCCTGCGGTCCATCTTCCAGACGTGTCAGATCGTGGGCCCGCCGGGCCTGGTCCTGGCGCAGGTGGGCGGCCGGGCGGACGTCAATCTTCCCGCGGCGGCCCCCGTCGCGCTCACCGTCGCCGGCGTCCCCGCGCCCCGATCCAAAGCCCCGGAAGCC